TCTATCTATCTATCTATCTATCTATCTATCTATCTATCTATCTATCTGCCATCATCAGGCTTCTGTATAGTGTTCGTTTGTGAGTCAGACTTTCCCAGCCTTTTCTGTTTTAAATTTGGTGCTAGCCTACGCTGTGCCAGAATGGTTTTTTCTTCATTGTGATTGGTTGGGAGTCTTGGTCTGTGTTTATTGGTTTTGGAGTTTGCTGTGTTCTGCAGATTCTTCCATGAACAGGTTTGCAATGACGGGTGACAGTGGTGATCCCATAGGGGGTCCTTCAATTTGCTTGTATCTTTGTCCTTTGTATATGGAATATGTGTTGGTTAAGCAGTGTTCTGTTAGTTCCATGAGGTGTTTGGGTGGTTGGTATTTATTTTTGATGATTTTGAGAGTTTCTTTTATTGGGATTTGAGTGAATAGTGAAACCACGTTGAAACTTACAAGCAGATCTTCTTGTTCCACGTGTAGATCTTTGATCATTTCCAAGAGGTGGTATGAGTTTTGTACATGTGAAGCTGCTGCTTCAGCATGGGGCTGTAGCTGCTTTGCTAGGTGTTTGGCTAGGTTTTGTAGTGGTGCTCCTCTGGAGCTGACTATGGGTCTGAGAGGTATGCCTTCTTTGTGTATTTTTGGGAGGCCATATAGTTTGGAGCATCTGGAAGATTTTTCTCTTGGGATGATTGTCTGTTGGATCTCTTTGTTCATGTGGCTGGTTATAATTTTCTTCTTGGTTATTTTTTCCAGATACGTGGTTGGGTCCGTGTTTATGGGTTTGTATGTGGAGTCTTGGAGTAGGTCTGTCAATTTTGTTCCATAGTCTTTTCTATCCATTACTACTGTCCATTACTACTACTACCTTTATCTGCTGTAAGTATGATTATGCTGCTGTCATTCCTTAAGGCTTGCAGGGCTTTTAGTTCCTCTTTGTGCAAGTTGCTTTTGGGTGGTTTGCTTGTGCATAGGATATTAGTGACTTGGTGTCTTATTCTGTCAGCTTCATCTGTATTTAATTTAGTTAGGCTGGATTCCACTCCACATATGATGGATTCTGTGGGGATTTTTTTTGGGTACTATAGCATAATTGAATCCTTTGGTTAGGATGTCTGTTTTTGTTTTGGTGAGTTCTCTGTTGGAAACGTTGTATACTAATTGTTTCAGGTGTTGTTGTGAGTTTTGGGGGGGCTTTCTTGTCATGTTCTAATTTCTTTAGTTTCTTCAGGAGTTTGTCATTTTTGTAAGTTTTTTCAGTTTCAGCTCTCCAAGTTGTAAGTTGTTTTATCCTGTCCCAAAGTAGAGGGTGGATTTTGTTGCTTAATTCCAGGTGTAGAATTAGAAGATCTTTGTTTAGCTGATCGAGTTGGAATCTCTTTCTGTGGAGTTCGTTCCTGAGTAGAGCCATTTCAGTTCTTTTCAGGATACGTTTAGTAGCTGCTGTACTGTGATGAAATGTTAATTTGAAGCAGGTCGGTGTTGCATTGTTGTCTCTACAGCTGCGTAGGAATTTTAGGTCACATAGTATTCCTGCTCTTTTAACTTCCAGCTTCTCGTAAGTTTTGGTCTGGTGTTTATTTCCTCCCCGTAGAGGTCTGATATTTGTTTTCTTAAGTTTTTGTGGGTATTTATATATATGGTATTCAGCTTTGTTCGGGTATTTTCCCACGTCATTATAGTTGTGCTTTTGAAGTTGTAGCAACCTTTCGGCAGAATCTCATCTGCCATCATCAGGCTTCTGTATTGTGTTTGTCTGTGAGTCAGACTTTCACAGCCTTTTCTGTTTTAAATTTGGTGCTAGCCTACTGCTGTGTCAGAATAGTTTTTTCTTCATTGTGATTGGTTGGGAGTCTTGGTCTGTGTTTATTGGTTTTGGAGTTTGCTGTGTTCTGCTTGATTGGTGTTTCTAATATCTTCTGTCTGTTTTGTAGCTTTTTTTGTCTTCCAGGCTTCCAGATAATTGACAGTCTGGTGGAATCATCTCTTCTATTCATGCTTTCAGGTCTTTTTTCAATCTCTATGGCTTCTCTGATAATTCTGTAGCTGGGGTTTTCTATAGTGGCTAGGGTTTTGGTGCCATTGAAGTCGATGCTATGACCTGTGGCTTTCAAACAGCTTTTTTCCTACATTTTTGTGTTCATCTAGGCAGGTACTTATTCTTCTATTGGTCTGTCCAATGTATGTGGCAGGGCATGATGCACAGGAAATACAGGAAATACATTCCTCCAATACAGGAAACACAATGTTGCCAGCCAATCAAGATAAAAAAAGTACAAAACGTTGCTACAACTTTAAAAGCACAACTATAATGACGTGGGAAAATACCCAAACAAAGCTGAATACCATACATGTAAGTACCCGCGAAAACTGGTGTAACATTTCCACAATCTAGTTATCTATTGATTCTTGGGTGGGACTTTTATACTGGTTATCCTGTGTGGGAAAGCTGATAAATATGGTTAAGAAAACAGTTACTAAACAGCTAACTGATTGTTATTGAAATCTGTTATGTTTGCTTCTTGTCCCAAGTAGTTTGGGACAATTAAAGTCCAAACAGCTTAAAACTCTGCTTAATGAGAAATTAAGATATTCAAGATTGGCTTGTTATAGTGGTCCTTATAATATGGGCAAAAGATTCCTTTTGGTGGGGTCTCAATTGTAGAACGCTCAAAGAGACCATAAATACCAAGTGAAAGCCTTTTTTATTTTTTTCTGACATTTTTGGATGTAGTTATGACATCTGGTGGTCTTGAAGAGTCAAATATAGCCAATGTTGTTATTCTTGCTGCTGTTATTTACTGTGAAATATCACTAAAAGACTATTTTTAATATTGTTATGTCAAATGTTTTTATGGTAAGTATCAACTCCTGGATTTGTTAGGGCTGGAAAGTGTACACTGATAATGAAGAAATGATAATCTGTAGTGCCATCTTGTGGTCTACAATATAAAGTGAAGTGAAAGCAGGCGGTGGCTGAAAATTCATAAAGTAGTACAGAACAGATTAAAAAAAACCACTGGATTTGTACAAATCCCAATTTAATAATGAATCACTGTTACGTGTAATGAAGCAAGAATCACATTTGGATTTATTTTGTTTGCATTTTGTATAATTAAATTCATTACTTTGCCATACAAAAACCAAATGACAGATCTTGTGTAAAAAAAGCCTAGAAAGAAGTGTCTGTTAAATAAGAGGAAAACTTGGGCTTCAGAAGAAGCGGGAAACCTATAACTGAACAAGGCCAGCCATTCAGCTCCTGAACTATTCCAAACCAAGGAGATCCTCAGTGTATTTGAAGCTACAAATGTGATAGCAGATAACAGACCAGGCCAAACCAGCCCATTTTCAAGATAAATAAATCCAGATCTGGTTGTGCAGGAGAATATTGGAAATCTTCAGAAAGTTCCCTGAGGCTGACACAGGAAGACCAATTTGACTAAATAAAGGTACTTAAAAGAAAAGGGACTATAAAAACAGGATTACATGGAGTTTTGTTTGGCTGCCTGTTTCTTTCTCTGTCTTCTATGTAACCACATGGTTTGTTCCTTAAGATTTGTGCCTTCCCTAATTTAACTGAGATTTATGGTGGGAATGATCACTGTGTCTGGAGGAGTAATACTTCCTTAAAAAACCTTGGTCCAGCTGGCCTGGCTGGTAGCACTTTGTAAGGGCCCCTTTCTAGGGTTACAGGAGAAGATGGTCAACAGTTTTGAAGGCGGAAGAGGGCTTTATGCCCCAACAGCAGATAAAATGGTAGAACCATCTTCTAGGAGAAGGGAAACTCTGATTTCAAACCTCCGCTGCCTTGTGGCTATATCTATTATTGGAAAAGGCTTCAGGAGTTAACCTCGAGGCAAAATCTGGAGCCAGAATTCCAGAAGCAGTTTATGACTGTGTACAATCACAGTCTAGTAACTCCTGCGATGCAGCTGGAACTAATTGTTTCTTTTTTATTTTCCTTATATGTATCCATTTCAAGTATCCATAACTATGTTTATACTTATACCTGTTATCTTATAATTGCTTGACTAAATAAATAAATAAATAAATAAATAAATTGTATCAGCTCTGCCATTCCATTAGACTATTTCAGTGATGTGGAGAGGGGGAATCTGCTGCTTGGGTAACAGTTTATCCTCCATATTAAATTACCCAGGCCTCGGGCTCTGGAGAGGACACTCCAGCTTTGCATACTGCATTGAAACAACACGAAAAGTGGCAGTTACCGGTTTTATAGCACGATACCATAGTCTCTTGAGACTGAAGGATGCCAATTCTTCTTCTGAATCCCTGAGGCTGGGCTCCGGAACGAGCCCTAAAGCTCGGAAGACATAACCTGTAGTCCCGTTGACCGACCCAGATTGTATCCTGCAACACTATCCTGGGACACGTAGAGTATATTCACCTTTCTTCATGAATTTTGGAAAGTTTAAAGGCAGATTTCTGAGAACTGGGAGTGAAATAGAGATTGAAATAAGAAATTGTATCTGTAAATAATTATTCTGATGAAGACAGCATGCAGTTATCATGAACATCCTCCCTTATCTCTTAATTATGCTCCCAAAGTTTTCCAAGGCAGTAGTGGGAGCTGCTTCAGACCGGTTTGCCTGTACCAGTAGTTCTGACCCTGGCTGGGCCCACCCACCTGCCCTGGTGCTATCCCCGTCCTATATATCTCACTCTCTGGCTCGCTCGCCCAGCCCATGCAGCCCAGTTGATTTTTGTGCCTCGCCAGCTCTACTCACCATGGCTGCCACACACATGAAATCACGCTCACATTTTCGGTTCTGCACTAGGTGAACCGGTTGTTACATTATGTGCAGCCCACCTCTGTTCCAAGGGCAAATAGACTGATGGGCAAGCAGAAATTAATATTTTTAACCACTAGAAGTGCCTATTTAAAAGTAGCTTGCCAACCCACTGAAATTCAGTCTTAGATGTCAGGATGCTCCAATACTAAAAGATCCGAATTAACATCCTTTCCATCCAAAAACTCTTATGAAAAGTTTAGGCCAATTTCTGCCTTTCAGTGTAATCCATCTCCTAGGGTTGCATTCATGCCAGTTTTGGAGGGGTGTTGCAAAGTACACTTTGTATGCCCATCGTTAACCCTGGAGGTTAATATAGGTAATCCTCAGCTTATGACCAGAAATGAGCCCAACATTTCTGTTGCTAAGTGAAACATTTGTTAAATGAATTTTGCCCCATTTTAACAACCTTTTTTTTTGCCACACTTTGTACGTAAATCACTGCAGTTGTTATGTTAGTGGCATAGTTGTTAAGTGAATCTTTCCTCCCCATGGACTTTGCTTGTCCAAAGGTCATAAAAAGAGATCACATTACTTCGGGACACTGCAACCGTCATAAATTTGAGCCAATTGCCAAGTGTCCAAATTTGGATCACATGACTATGGGGATCGCAGTGATTGTAAATGTGAAAAATGATTTTAAGTCACTTTTTTCAGTGCCATTGTAACATTGAATGGACACTAAATGAATTCTTGTACGTCGAGGACCTGTAATGGTCCCAGCATTTACCTGTAGTCCACGTTTTCCCTCCCACAATGCTTTTCACATAGTAATACAGCATAAGACAATACAGTATCACCAAATCAAAAATAATATTACAAACAGTAGAAATATAGCATCTTATTACAGCAATAAATGTAGTAAATGTCATCTCCTATAAACTAGGTGTATACTGTAATTAATAATCTGCTCCCAAGGTGGATATAGCCGCATGATGGCAGAGATAAACACAGAATCTTGGACACCATAATAGGAATTTCCCAGTTTCCTAGAAACATAGAAAACTGATGGCAGAAAAAACCTAGTGGCCTATTGAGCCTACCCTTTGACTCTCTTTTTTAACTTTATTTTATTTTTAAATTTTTGTTGGATGATGGACATGTGTTTATCCCAGGCATGTTTAAACTCAGTTATTGATGACTGACTGACTACCTCCGCTGGAAGTTGGCTTCAAGTTTCCATTGTTCTTTCTGTCAAGTAATCCTTTCTAACGTTACTTTTGAACTTCCCTTCCCCTGTCAGTTTAAGGTTACGCCCCTGGGTTCTTGACTTTTGCTTACTAAAAATAATTTATAATGAATTATTTAAGGTGGAACTTTTTAAGTATAAGGAATTATTTTTGGCCCAAGTTGTCATTTTTTTTTTTTAGATAAGCTGTCAGCTGATGTGCCTGCTGCTATCTTTTTTCCATTCCTTTCCCTGCCTCTGCATAACGCATGGATTATTGAATACAATGAGTTCAATGAGAGGAAGGCAAGGAATTAAGAGAGTAGCTTTCAACCCTTTGAGGAGATCAGGTCAGGAAACAGACACCACATGAACTAGTGGAATTCTATTGTTACGGGGTTAGCAAGAGAATCTTGAAAGCCTGACAGTTTTCTCCCCGCCCCCAATGTCCTTTTATACTAAGAGAATCACACACACACACACATACCTACCCCCCCACCCACACACACCCTTATACTAAAAAGAATCAAAGCAGGACAGTCTTGGAGGTGTTTTTTCTTACCCCTCCTGCTGTCAAGCTAAGTTTATGTTTACATAACAGTCATCAAATTTATTCTTTAAGGCCATCTCTGCATTCTGCTGCAGTGGTGAGAGAAAGGTTAAGAGGCATTGTTCCTTTTACACTGGGTGTGTGCCTAGAAAATGAAAGTGAACATGCTAGTGCCAACTTGCCATGGACATTTTGCCATGGGAGAACTCGACACAGGATAATTCAACAATTCAATTTAATTATTTAAAATAATTAAAACATTTTATTTTTTTGTCATTCATGTTTCCATTTGCCCTGCCTTCAGCAACCTTTTTAAATGATTCTATTTCACCATCCCTTCCATATTAGTGTAACTCTTATCCCGTAGTGAGTTGTCCTGTGGTGAGTTGTCCATGGTGAGTTAACAGGATCGAGTTGTCCTAGACTCACCTGCGATGGAGTGGGTAGGGCTGGCTTCAAACAGGTCAAAAGATTTTCTCTTTGGGATAACCAAAAGACTTGTAAATGAGGGATAAAGCTCAGTTCCTCTCTGTAAATATCCTGAGGGAATTTGGCTACTGATCGAGAGAAAAAGAGGAGAACCCTGGAGGGGTGGATGCAAAGACACTGATTCTCCAGCACTTCATGATCTTCCAACCACAAGGGGGCAGTGAGGTGTTGAGAGAGTAAAGGATATATTCTGTGTCTTTCTTAGTCCATCACACGCTCTGCTAGTTTCTAAGAAACTGCTAATTGATATTTCTTCCTTCTGCTTTTCTTCTCTGGCATTTGCATTCAGAGTACATATCTTTTGACTCTCTTCTACAACGTCATTAGGTGCAAGGCTTTGCCTATTGTGCACTCCTGTAAATAAATACCCTTTATGTCATAATTATAAAACTTGCTTCACTAATTATCGCTCAGGTCAGCTTCCCACTTTCAGGTATGCTGACGTCCACACCCAAGACTCAACCTCCAACATGAGGTTGGGTCATCCTTTTTCTATAGGAGATTTCTTCCCTGAGGCAAACATATTGCTAATCCAAGCAGACCTACTTTGGAGACAAATTGGAAATACTGGGGACACGGCATTAATCAAGACTGAGAGAGTCTGAAAGAGATTTTAAAAAGGAGGGAAAGGCTGGAGCCAGGTAACTGCATTCAAATATTACTTTTCTTTCTGGTAAAAGTGTGGCCAAAAAGTTGATAGTGCTGTGAGAACTTTCCAAGCTTTGTTTGAATTAGTGAAAGATTGGATGAATCCTGGAATAGCATATGGCAATTGTTCTGACTATAAATTAAGTGACTCAGGGTTCATGGTTTTGGCAATGTTACTTACACAAGTATCATTTTGCTGCATCAGACCTTTGCTCTCCCAGTCAGCAGCAGTGCAGCTTGAGACAGATATCTGCCCAATCTTAATTAAGATCATCCTTGGGTTGTTTCTAATATTATTTTCTTTCATCTTTTTTAAATTTCCTGTTGCTATATTAGAATTGCTATACAGTGGCTATTGAAGATGCCTTGATTGCCTCAAACTGGGATCCTTTTTCCAATTAGACATGCCTGATAGGTTTGTTTTAGTGCTTAAGATGTCAGTTTGATTTAGAAGAAAAGAGTTAATCTGTGTCTTTGACCTCTTGGCTTGATTATAATATTAAGGGGGTATAAACACTGAACTCTAAAGGTAGTACAGTTTAATGGTGTGGTAAACCAAATAACAAAATCCAGTGAAATGTATATTTTAATTTTCCAGTGTTTTGCTTTACTAAATCTGACATTTGGCTAGAGAAAGTGAATACTTTTCTTTTACTATTTTCTATTTACCTGTTTAAGAAAATGGGGGCAATATGTAAGATTTATTCATGCAAAAATGCATGAATAAACACTAATATCATCATGGAAGTAAGGTGTTTATTCAGTGAATTGTGAAAACAGTGTGATTGTGAAATCATGTAATAACCCAATGCCAGTTTTCTTGTTCTCAATGAATACAATTTTAAAACTGCTGCATGTGGTTTTGTGGATCAAAGAGACCAGAAGAAATTCTCTTAAAGACAATTAAAGCAAGTCGTTTTATCTGAAATGGTACAGGGTCTTCTGCTCAAGCAGGGGGCTGGACTAGAAGGCCTCCAAGGCCCCTTCCAACTCTAGTCTTCTGTGTTCTATGTTCTGTCCCAAGTCAGGCTGGTTCTATATTCATGTAAAAAATTGGGTTCCTGTGGAACAAAGGAAGTGCCAAACATTGAGAAAGGGAAGCTAGAAACAAAGCAGGTGACCAAGAGCATTCCACGGAGCTTCTGAAATGAGAAAGGATTTCATTTCAAAACTGAAACAACTGTTGTTGGCTTGCAGCCCATTTTGTAAGAATACACAAGAGGATTTTTTTTTTTTTTGGATTCAGTCATAACGTCAGTTCTGGTGTTGACTTGTTTTGCCTCTTGCTATATCGGTATGCATTATGACTAACCAGACATAGCCTAGGAAGGCTTAACAGAGCTGGGAATTCCCCCCACCCACCCCAGAATACCCAGATATACTGTAGGTAGCCTGATATATTAAACTGAGTCTTTAAAATAATTCTGTAAGCTGCCTTTTTAAAAAAAGACAATACTTTTTGGTTATATTTATCCAGAAATGTAGACTTAATTTTATCTTAGTACACAGTAAGTTAAAATATTGCATGCATGCTGCCTTACATCAAAATCACTCATAGAAATGGAGCAGTTGGTGCCAAATCTTTAACAAACTCCTGAAGTGTCCAGCGAAATAAAGGGATGTGGTGGCTCAGTGGCTAAGACATTTAGCTCATCCATCAGAAAGGTCGGCAGTTCAGCGGTTCATATCCCTTGTGCCGCGTAACAGAGTGAGTTCCCATTACTTGTCCCAGCTTCTGCCAACCTAGCAGTTCGAAAGCGTGTAAAAAAGGCAAGTAGAAAAATAGAGATCACTTTTGGTGGGAACGTAACAGTGTTCCGTGCACCTTCAGCATTTAGTCATGCCAGCCACATGACCACGGAGACGTCTTTGGACAGCGCTGGCTCTTCGGCTTTGTAACGGAGATGAGCACTGCCCCATAGAGCCAGAAACGACTAGCACGTAGGTGTGAGGGGAACCTTTACATTTACCTATTGCACCGGCCCCTAGAGTTGGGAACAACTAGCACATATGTGCAAGGGGAACCTTGACCCTGAGCTTAAAATGTCCAGTAAAGTGGCTATTGGCTATGCTGCCTGGGAATTCAGAGTGTTATACAAGTAGTCCTCAACTTGTAACCTGTCACTTAGTGCCTATTCAAAATGATGGTGGATTTTCCCAGACCTACTTACAATTCAGTTTTGCAGTTCTGATAGCCACCCCTCTCGCCATCGGTCCTGTGATCTCATTCTGGATGCTTGGCAACCAGCCTGCTTTTATGGCTGTTTGCAGCATCCTGAGTCATGTGATTGTACTTTATGATGCATGCTGGTTTATTTATTTATTTCTGGTTTCCAGCAAAAAAACAACCCTATTGGTTAAAATGATTTTCCTTAACAACTGCCTCGTTCACTTAATGGATGTTTGCAAAAAAGGTCATAAACACTGGTGTGGTCATGTGGCAACCCACTTAATGACCCACATAACTTACAACTGTAATTCCAGGCTCACTTATGTTTGTAAGTAGAGGACTACCTGTAGTTTAAAGCACACTAGGCAGGCTAGGGTCAAATCTGCCCTTTTTGTTTAACAGAGGTATGTCAAACTTGGCGGCCCATGAGCTGGATGTGTCATATGTAGGCCATGCCCATCCCAGCTCCATGAAAGGAAAAATGTCATGATACATCATGTGATGGCAATGTGATGTGGTGAGTTTGACACCTGTGGTTTAACAATGTGAACCAACCTGAGTTTTGCTCTCAGTTCAATGCATTTTCTATTCTATCTGTGGCAAAAGACTAAAAACCAAGAAGAAAAATGTAGGAAGAAAAGTCTTATTATAGTCTTTACAATGAGGTCCTTGCTGATGGATATAACTGTCTATTGGCACAATCAACACACTACTAGCATGATCAAGTATATCAAGGTAATATAGACAGTCATAATCTGCCCAGACAGTGTATTAGTAAGGAGCAGTGCCAGTTAGAAAATGAAGCCTAACTTTGAGCTGTTTTGGAAATCATAAACTAGGAAATCACAGATATAACTAGGTATCACGGATCAAAATAATCCACTTTTTTTCCAAAAGGTAATTTTATATGCCATGGTGGGAAGCAAAAGGAAGAGGTATCACAAAAGATTAGAGGTGATTTTCAATATGGCCATTACTTAAGGCTACCATATCTATGTTGTTAAAATTTGGAAGACAAGTAGAAGGCAGAAAAGATTAGGGGAAAAAATATTTTGCTGATATCTAAGGGTCTCCTTTGCAGCTCTGTAGAAATGGGTGGGCAGACTATATAAATTCACCAAATGGTTGAATTTACCACATAAATAAATAATCTGGTTGGAACATTACTTGTTCAAAAATGTGGATGGATTTCACTGGATAGAATTTAGAAAGATTAAATGGTGCTTAGGTGTAACACTTCTGCTGTTAGATTTTACCACTTAGCTGCTACAGTCTAGGATTCTTCCCTAGACTAATGGTGAGGTAAGTTGGTAATTTGCCATTCAGCAGTATCTCTAGAGAATCACACTTCTCAACTTTGACCTAGAAAAATTACAGCTATCAGATCTAGCTATAATAAGCATTATAAGTGTAATTAAAACCACAATAACTATAATGACCATTTGATGGAAGAAAATAATTTGTAGTTGCTTACAGTATATATCTCCCATAGGGATGGATGGGATTTTTGCCATCCAGATGGGACAGACTTAGAGAAATTCAAATACTCAATAATAATCAAAAACCTTCACTGACTTAAGACCAATGTTAAGACTGGTTAATTTTTTCTCAGGTTTTATATGCCAGAATATGAGAAGCTAAGGCTAACTCCCTTAATAAATGTATCCCATAATCATATAACAATGACTAATGTTAGTGTTTACAAGTTGTGTTTTCTTACAGTGCATCATCTTCACCCTGACATTTCTTTGGTCTCTCAGCCACAAAGCTAGATGGGGATGATGGTCAGTGTGACCGACACAAAAATGGCCCACAGTCTTATTTTGTATTGCCTTAAGAATCATCTGAACCTTACTACTTGAAAATATGACCTACCCCCAAAACAAGCCCTAGCCCGATTTTCACACCTGCACCTTATAAGCCCTACCCCCAAAATAAACCCTAGTTAAGCCCCACCCACCATCAGATGGAGTGAGGTGCAGGCATAAAAATCAAGCTAGGGTGGGGTGGGGGTGTGGAGCTGCTCATGCACCCCACACCCACATACCTTAGGACTGTGGTAACCAGGCCTCCCATGCCCTGACACCTGTCACGCTGCTGCCCGACTTCTTCTGCAGCCATTTGTGGCTACTCATGGCCTGAAGCCAAGTGATGCATCATGCTGGTGGTGCCGCTCATGGCAGAACGTGGTGAGGCTCATCACATCAGAGCCTCTACTCGCATGCACAACAGCACAACACGCCATGCAGCCTCCTGCCACGAGTTGTGGCACTGATGCGACAAGCCATGTTGTATCTGGCTGTGAATGGTCACAGAAAAAGTTGGGCAGCAGCACGACAGGTGTCAGGGTATGGGGGGCATGGCTGTGGTGGTCATAAGGTAATCAGGTAAGACATTCCTCCCAAAATAAGACGTGGTGCTTATTTGGGGGCCAAAAAGAAAATAAGACTGGTCTTAATTTGGGGGAGACTTGGTATATTGATAAAAGAATCATCCTGTAAAGTGATCCAAATTTATGTTAAGGTCTGACTAAAGTAAACTAGGGTAGTGCTTCTCAACATTTTATGCACCACAGACCCCCATTAAATAACTTTTGTGGTCACAGATCATGGTGCGGACCCCCCCCCTGTGATGACATCATTCCTCCCCTAGAGGTCTGTGGACCACAGGTTGAGAACCACTGAACTAAGATCAACCATGATCAGAGATAGGATACTTGGCTGAGGGCCCTGTTTATATAACATATATAATTTGAATTTGTAAATTGGTTGGAGAAATGGTGACTCTCCATATGTTGTTAGGCTCCCAGTATGTCACATCACAATCCATTCTTGGTTTGACTGCCCAGGAATTCAGGAATATTTGGAGAACCACTGACTATCAGAGCTTACTATAAAAGATCATATATGCAAAGTAGGTTTCACTGTTACCTGAGGGATCCCTTCATCTACAGAATGTTTCTCACTATTTTATCGATACCTAAGACTTGAAGAAGAAGATTCAAACTCTCTCATAAAAATGTGCTAAGTGCAGTGACATGAGACAATGTGCCTGTCAAGGCACGGTATTTTGAGGTTTTCCTAACCTGCTTCTCCTAGGGGTATTTCTATTACAGGTCCTATCATCCCCATTTCTTGCTGGCTACAGATTTGGGGTCTTGTGCTCCCAACATATCTGAGAAAAAAAAATCAGGCTGGGACAGCTGGAGCAAACATCTTCATATAACATCAGCTGGTGAATTGTTAGTAACTTGTTTGTCTGATTTAATTGTGTCCCTCAAAGTTGCAAGTGTGCTAGCCAGCAATGAGGTGGAGTCTATGCATTCACACTTTGGAGGATGGAAACATAATCCAATCTAGGCAGTTGAATCAAGGTACATGCTTGACCTGCTAAAGCATCAGGTTTCCACTGTTACTAGAGTAGCAGGAGCTGACTGGCCTGTTTGGCCAGAATTTATATATAGATGGGAAGGTGAGTTCATCATTTCAAAATGACCCAGTTCTCACTGGAGTTGTAGTTCTCTGGCTGGACTGCACCATTTTGGACTGCAGGTGATATTTACAAAACAAAAAGGCCATTGGCCCTGCCCACATAAAAAAATTCCAGTGATACATAAAATTGGTATGTCAGGAGGATGTTTCTAATTTAATCTCTTCCTTAACATGCTTGTTCTGTATGAGCTAAATTATGAATGTGTATGTATATATGTATGTGTGCATGTATGTAGATTTTTCTAGTGGCACAAATTGGGAGACTGGGCAAGTTTGGAAGGAATTTATATAGAAAGGAGGTCATGGGAGAAACATTTTTAACCTCTTCCCAGTTACTTTCAAATTTAAAATGAAAGAGAAGAAGGTCCAACCTCTGTTCTCTCTTGACTCTAGTGGTCTGGCATATAAAAAGTTTCACCCTATGAAAACACATTTTCATTTCTGAACCTATAACTTAGGACAATTCACACAGTTGCTTGTACTTTCAGTGAAAACTACAATGTGTTCCTTAGATGTGTCGGTCTACAGTTTCCAGAAAACCCTGTTGCCATGGTTGCTAATTTTTAGGATTAAAGTTGGAAGTACTGTAGGTGGCTGAAAGTTGGATTATTAACTGAGTGGCACTTAAAGTAAAAGTAGGTGGTGCCTAAGAATCACACGTTCATAATATGAGATGACTTAGCAATGTAGCTCTTACTAGGGTAGAATATGTCTTTTTCGTGGCTCTGTACATAATTTGAAATTTTAGTAGGCCGTGATAGATCCAATTTCTCACCTAAGGATAGTTGGCCTAGGACAGTTTTTTTCTTTTTGCTCATTTTAGTTTTTCCCATAAAATGGAGTCGACAATGATGCAGTATCTCTTCTAGTACCTCCCAAATATTAATTCTACAAAATGGGCACTGGCATTTCTGGATGTTACTACTTCAAGCAATTGATGAGAGATAGCCTGTTATTTTTCATATAAAAATGTCAGATGCATTTAAACATGATGTACATTTGGCAGGACCCCAAGAAAGGGACTTCTCAGTGGTTGCTATTTCTCTATGAAACAACATTTCCCCTAAGCATGGTTGGCCCTCACCCTGTTGCTTTATCGAAAGGCCCGTGATGACCCAGAGTATATCAGAAATATAACAAAAACCAAAACATAATTAAATAAAAGTCCTTTAATGCCTTCAACTTGGCTTCACTGTTTAATTATTCACAGTGGAGGAGTAAACTATTTTCAAAATAACATTTCAAAGGAAAGAAACACAGTTTAAATTCAAAGAACCAATAACAAAGCAAAAACCAAAAACAAACCGCACTGAATAAAGTTCCATGACAGACCAGGATAGATAATTGCCAACTTCAGGAAGATAACCAGGTAAAGTCCGTTGGAAGAACACCAACCAAGGTAAACCTTCTTTAGGAATAAAACCAGGGGTGGGATTCTACAGGTTCGCACCTATTCTCTAGAACCGGTTGTTAACATTCTAAGCAGTTCAGAGAACTGGTAGTTAGAAGAAATTACTGGCCTAATCCTGTAAGGAAGGCAGGAAGGAAACATTCTGGTGTTGCTTACAGAAACTTCCTCTCCGTTAACCCTTGTTACATTCTTGGCAAGACTAGACTTCCTGTCTCAGGAACTTCTCTGGAGGTTTTTTTTTCTCCTTTGCTGGTACTTTGCTTGTGTGGAGTGACCATTCAAAGTTACAATGGCACTGAAAAAAGTAACATGACCATTTTTCATGCTTACGACTGTTGCGGCATCCCCACAATCATGAGAGGCCAAGCGAGGATATGCGTGCCTCAATGTGAGTGATGTTGAGTTGGCCACACCCAGACAGTCACATGACCACCAAGCCATGCCTACCAACTAAGCCACACCCACAGATCCAGTTGTTAAAAAAATTGAATCCCACCCCTGAATAAAACACTAAATAGTCTCTAGCGTCTGTTAGCACTCAGGTCCAAACTCTTATGCAGATCTCATACCTGAGTAGACCACATTTTACCCTGATCCTCTCCTCCCTGCGTGCCCTAGGGTGGATAGGGAATGGGCC